CCTAAAAACAGTGCTAGATGACAAGCTCCACCTGAAATGTACGGCTATCTTGTTTGACCCATCCAATTCTTACATCCATCACCATCATATATACCGAAGAACAAAGTATATATTTGCACTCAGATCAGGATATGCTGCAGCTTGCTAGGATAGTTTACAGTTATACATATCTCTAATGAAGAGAAGATGCAATTACTATTAATAATAAAGCAGGTACAGTTTGACTCAAATTTTCATTGTCATTTAGCATGCTTTTTCGCTATTTCTATTTGCTGTAGTTTGACTCAAATTTTCAATTGTCTTTCTTTGTTAAAATATGAAATGGTAGCATGTATAATAATGCTGTCACACCTTTGAATGTAAAGCCAATTTTATAGACTAAGATGCTATTTTTTGGATTTTTTTTTCTGTCATAAAAGTTCAATTGTTTGTAAAGTTATTAATATCCAGTTATTTCATTCCTTCGTCACTTTTTTTTCTTTTAATTTTTTAAACACTTGGTGCTAAGCCTTTGATGAAATGAAAATCTCAGTGAATTTTCTATAAAAAACTTGAATATTCAGATTGAATTGTGCACATAATCAGAATGACTTTTTTCTTTTTTGACAAAGGATAAGCGCATTGTATTAATTTAAATCCCACATGAGATATTTACAATCCCATTCAAGGCATAATTAGAATTTTTTTACCGATAATATTAAATATATTTACTTTTTAATATTATAATATATTTATTTAACATTACATTTTTATTATTATTATAAATTTATATTTTTATATAATATTATAATTATAATATGCCTGAATATAAAACTTAAATCTACTGAAAGATCTTGTTTCTATCAAAATTCAATTAAAAAGAGAGATTAAGATCAGCTCAGGCCAACATCACAGTTGGAATGAATTTCCTGCTGCCACGTCGCCATCATTAGTTTTTGGATCTACGGTCTTGAGTATTACTCCTCCACATTGTTGCGTCACGTCACGTGTTCTCCGTGAACAAGATCGAACGACTCCAACCTTGTAACGGATGTCCGTGGGGTTAGACAGTTTTCATCTAGGGTCCATACGATTTCAGGGACAGTTTCGTCCACCAAAATAATAAACAATAATATTGATTGTAAGAGAATTTTTGAATAGCTATCCATCTATAGAAGATGGGTTAATAAACAATAATATTAATCTATAATTTTATATAATATAATATTATATAAATATAAAATAATATTAAATAAATATATATAATATAATACAGTATTATAAATAAAAGTGTACGTCCGCTCCTATAAATACCAAATCTGAGTCTTACTGCTCCACCCGAACACAAACGCTTCTCGAAAACCGTCGGAATGCGATCAAACTTCCATTTCCTTTCCCTCTTTATTGCTCTCCTCCTCCTTCCTCTCATCTGCGCAGGCCCCAGTGCACGCCTCGGAGTCGGAGGATGGCAGCCAATAAAGGATCTGAATGACTCGCATGTGAAGGGGATTGCTGAGTTTGCCGTGTCGGAGATCAGTAAGCAGTCTGAAACGAATCTGAAGCTGGATAGCATTGTCAAGGGAGAACAACAGGTCGTTTCAGGGGTCAATTACCGACTGATTTTGGCAGTGAAAGATGGAGTGCAGAGTAAGAGTTACGAGGTTACCGTATGGGAAAAGGCTTGGGAGAATTTCAGGAAACTCATCTCATTTAAACATGCTATAGCTATTTAGAGTGACGAAATTTGTTCCCCATAAAAACTTTCTATTAAGGCGGCCCCTTACCATCTTTATTTCATCGTAGAAGTTCCGTGGCTCAAAATTAGAGCCAGTTTGGATGGTTTTAATTTTGATGAGTCCAAAGTATTTTATAAATATTTAATGTTGTTTGGATTGTAAAAATACATTTTATTTTTTTATTTTATAAAAGTTCTGTTCAAGAATATTTTTGCCAAGGTGATGAATCATAGAATTGAATCTAAGTCAAAGCTCTGCAAAAAAAAAATTCTATTTTCAGACGTATAATAATTTGACATTAGCAGTAGTTAAAGGTTTTTTCAAATGTAATGAATAATAGCACTAATCTAATGCATACTTGCTAGTTTTAAAAACTGTTATATTTGTCAAATAGCTACTTGCCACGTTCCTTATCGTCATATCTATTAAAACCTAAAACTAATCCAATAACTAATATCACAAATTTCTTACCATATTATTATTCAACAATCATCAGCCCAAAATTTATCTGCCTTTTTTCCATTGTCATGTAACATGCTTTTCGGCTATTTCCATTTGCTGTCATTTGGTTGGAATTCTCAGTTGTCCATATCTGTTAGAATATGAATTGATAACATTAATGGTGCTGTCACACCCAAAGCCAAGTTTAGGCAAATCTATTGTTTTTTGGATTTCTTTTTCTTTTTTTTTTTTTCTTTTTTTTTTTTT